TGCAAAGAGTCTCCACGACCTGTGAGGCTTTATAAAAGCAGCAGCATAACTGAGGCTTTCGGGCTATCATCTCGGAGCGTAAGTAGTTCAGAAAGCACTTCGGCAGTGCACGCATCTCTTTGGCAGGCTGAGCAGGAGGAGGTGACTCAACTGCCTCTGGCTCCAGCAGGTTTTGGCCAAGTGCATCTGTGAGCTGTCGAGCTTGCCCTTGATCAGCAAGCCGGGAAGGCTGGCTCCCCACAAGGAGAAAGATGGAGAGAATCTCGAGCAGAATCAGTGGGCCGAGAGCCCCGAGTTAGACCACTGTGGCCTAATGCAGACAAGTGAGTGACACACAACTCCACCACCACGCAGCAGCTGGGCAGAGGCCAGCAGCTCGGTCCTCCACCAGTTCTCAGTTAGGGCTGGTGTCCATTCCCAGTGATACGGGAAGGAGAAAAAAGATTTTTGCTTCTAAAAAAGCAGGTGGCGCTGCCAGAGTTCACACAGTAAACAAGTCGAATTTCACAGGCAGAGTGGGAGGAATTTACCACTCTAGTCCACACAAAGTTACAGGAAACAGGCTGGTTTTACTCCAGCCACATGCCTAACACCCCCTCCCTCCTCCCTAGCCCACCCCCTTTTTAAAAGCAAAACAAGAGCCCTCAGCAGACTGGAAGATTATCGGTTTCTAGGTGCCCACTATGCTGGGATCATGAGCTGATTCTGGCAACTGGGATCCTGTGCAGTGATACAAGAAGCAGTTCCCCCAGCAGCTGTAGCAGATGAGGAACAGAGCTGCCAGGAAGACCAAGGCACAAATCGTGCAAGGTTTCCGTTCCAGGAGGAAACTGAGCAGGTAGAAGCCCATGAACATTGAGTGACTGAACCACAACGCTGGGTTGAGGGGCTTGGGTATGAGGAGGACAGGGAGCAACCACTGCAGGCAGTACATGGTGGGGGCTGGGTGGGGCCTTGCGGCAGCAGCAGTCAGATGTGCTCCAGAACTGTCTTCAGCAGCTTCTCCAGTGGGCAGGCTGTTCTGTAGAGAGGGGTAAAATGTCAGACTGTCAGAGAAACACAGCAGAAAGATCACTAGACATTCTTCTCACACAGCTTTATTTACTCCCAGGCATTGTATGCTGATGTTCTAACTCCTAGTACAAAATTCTGGTGTGTTTTGGAGCTGGTGGAAACGTTCCTGCTTTCTGAATCACTCGGCTGGGGACATGATTACCTATTCCTGGTGTAGAGCGTATCCCTTGTGTGCTCTGCTTCTCAGGCTTTCACCCAGGCTAACAGTTGTGAGACCCTTTTATTTAGCATACTGCAGAGCCAGAAAGGGAGAGGGGAAAACAGGAAGGAAAACAAGCTGCCACAGCCTTCCCTGCACACCTCTTTATCCAAGACCGTCCAAAGACTTGAGTGATGGTATAAAGAAACGCAACTGAGGGGTGAACTATTAGGCGCTACAAAGAAGTGTTAAGGAAGTGTTGCTGCAAGGAGTGTCTGGGAAGTGTGAAGTGCATGAACTGCTTCCTCCCCAGGCACAGACCCATTAGAAATCTTCTGTGTGACAGTGTAAAATTCAAGCTATACATGTAGCTACCTAGGAAAGTCCTGACAGTGTGCAGGCTGCAAAACAACGGGGAGGACAGTCCCTGCTTAGGGGATTTATAATCCTTGACAATCAGCTAAAGTCAGATAGGACAAAATATGTGAATAGATCAAAGAGGGGACAGTCTCAAAATGGCAATTTTCGTAAGTGCTGTACACACAGGATTTCCTCACTTGGATTATTATAAAACCCTGTGGAAACAGGGAGCTTTAAGGGCTTCGCTGACCAGGGATGGCAGCACACTACACATCTAGAAAACATTCTTCTACCTTTAGCAACCACATCAGCTACCCTGCGTGTGGGGTTTTTTCTTTCTAAGCAGTTTGAACATTTTCATCTAATAAATTCAGACAGCTTTAAAAATAATAAATGCTTTACAGGTATTTTTACAGAGCCAGAACTGTTGGAAGGGGGCAGAACAATGGAGTTCAGCAGTCTGGGACAGCGGTAGCAGGTCAGGCTAGAAGATACCAATATTGGCAGGAGAGAGTAACTGGAAGATTTCCCTCAGTTCGTGCAGTAGTGAAGCCACAAGAAGAGGGCACTCATAGCTTATTACCCAAAAAGGCAAAACCACGCAGGGGAATGCTGGAACAGGGAGAAGCTTGGGAAGTGTGCTCTTCCCTGCTGTCCTGTGGCACATCATGGTGACACGCAGCAACACTGAACCATGCGGCTGCCAGGCAGGGAGGGCTCAGAGAGACGGGCGAGAGGACAGCCCCAGCCTCGCAGGGTGCCACGGCCTCACCCCCACTAAACAGACCCTGTCAGAACAGCTTCTTGCAGCAATCCTTTTATCTGAAAATACTCAACTGAGTAGCGCTCTGTCAGAAGGATGAAGGGCTGAGCCGAGCCTGTTAGGATTACAACTGGGGGGTGGGAAGGTTAGTAGGATGAAGGAGTGAGAAGATAAACAAACAGCACATTCCTCTGGCTCCTGTTGGCAGGAGAAGGGATTTCCTGGTGAAGGGAGGGAAAATGAGAGATTGCACAGAAAAGCCAAAAGAAAACCACATGTGGTTCTCTTCCAAAAAAACAATGAGGTCAGGCTTGTCTTACAGCTCTGTAGGCTGCTCGGTACCACCCGGCTCTGTTGTCAAAAGCAAGCAGCATGCTGCCATCCACGGTGTTATTAGCAGCAGGATCTATTTTAATGTTAGTTAGAGAGGAGGCAGGCCAAGATCTCCATCAAGGCAAACAGATTAAGAGTATTTGGGGAAAAGTATGTTGTGCTGGTGCTCCTGAGTGCTCTCCAGCAGAGAGGGCAGCTGGGGTTCAATTAGTAAAACTAAGCATCAGTTAGGCAGCCAAAGAATAAGGAAGAAGTTATTTTATGCTGCAATATGGATAAAGTCAAGTGAAAGGAAGAAAACTCACAATGTTAGTCCTGTTTTATGCAGGTCACTCACGTCTTTAAGGGCAAGTCTAGTCCCAAGCCTGTTTCCCTCATCTATAAACTGGAAACAGGATTACTGATTTAATAAAATGCTGTCTGCTAGCCTTTGTGAATCGTCTGATGTTTCTGAAGTAGAGGTACTGCAGAAGTATTAGATTACTTTTTCCCCAGGGGAAGAATGGAGAGAAAAGATTTAACAAAAACAATTTAATCAGAAAGGTAATTAAACCCCACAAAACAACCTTTTAGTTCAGATTGCATTGAATACAACAAAGTTGTAGCAAGTCAATGATCTGCTGCCACCTTAATCCTCCTGAAATGTTCCTCCTTGAAGTTTCCTGTAGTCTTTCTCTCCCAAGTGTTACAAACATTGAGCAGTACAAATCACTGCATAAACAGCATGTCATACTTCTGCTAGATCCAGCCCTGAAATTACAGCAGCTTGACTTCTGTAGCTGGACACGTGAGGCAGTCTTTGGGTCACACATTTTTGAAGCTTCAGCTTGAAGTGCCTACAGACAATTGCTCTGGGATTTTGGTCTCCAGAGTAAAGAAACAGATAAAAAACAACCTAGGATAACGTGCCTGTCAGAAGAGCACAAGGCTGGAATAAAGCTCGAGAACCTTCTAGGACTAATGTCATAATCTCTAAGCATTAATAATGCTGCATATAGCTATTGAGCCTTTGGCCCCCAAACTTTACAACTAACTACAGTTTAAGGGTATAATTATAACTCGTGATGTAGCTACACTGAACTCCACAGTCTCGCCTCCTCACCACAGCAAAGACTGAAATGATAATGCTCTAAACAGCCAGTTGATTCTAAGTGTGTGTCACCTAAACACTTCCCACAAACACAAATACATCTCAGGACAAGTTACTCATTTTTAAATATTGGTATTTCCTGCAAGAGACAGTTGCTTGTAGCAATCAATGCAACCACTCTGCAGAATAAAGCACCATTTAATAGTGGTTATTTTTACTACAAAGTTTCAATGTCAATGCCCTTCAATCTACAAACCTCTTGGACTTCTAACAAACCCAGACGTTTGAACAGTTAGTCTTGTACCTGTAGTCAGTTTGCTTGATTTTCATGTGCCCCTTGGCTATATACCTTGTACAGGTTGAAAACCCTTTGTCAGCTGTATCCCACAACTGATCCTAGGTATGGTACCTACTGCTTGAGACTTCTGCAGCTCTATCTTCCTTGAGGGACCTTCCACTAGTAAGATACTCTTTGCAGCTCTTCACCTGGAAATTCCTTTACACAGCTGGCAATGAGACTGAGTTCTCTTGCCATGTGATCGATCAAAGAGAAACAGCATCTCCTGCTACCAGCTCTCTACTGAGCAGGAAGCTATCGCTCTCCTTGGTGCCCAGGACAGGCAGTCCCTTCTCGAAGCTGCAACAGTGTTCAGTTTTGCCCACGTTCGCAAGCAAAGTGAAACTTGCAAATGAAAAATCCCTACCTTGTTGTCTTTGTCTGCTCCTTATCCAAGCTAAAGATTACCATGTCCCAGAGCAAACAATAGCCTGTCACCCAACAGCATTTCTACCAGCTCCCTCTTTCACAACCACATCCTGCTTTTCCTCAACCAGTTCCTCTTGTTCTTCCCTGCCTGACTCATCCCTTTCCTTAGCCAGCCCGTGCTCCTGCTCAAGTCATTTGACTTGGTGGCCACTCATGTTTACCAGACAGCTCCTTTCCTTTGCACCACTACTGCCTCCTCTCGCTCTTCCACAGCTTAGAGCCACCTGAACTTCCCTCAGAGCCCTCAGCAGCAGGGAGCAGTCGAGGTGGCTCTGTCTGATCTCCACGTGCTGCCGGAGCCACCTCCTGCCAGTTCCTGCAGGCAGAGGAGCAGCCTGGGGAGGTTCCCTGCACACCTCCTCAGTAAGAAAACACCAGAGCTTTTCCACGTGCTTATTAACCGGCTTCCATCATATTCACAGCCCTTCCTTCTGTCATCTTCCCTCCCAAGACTATTCAAAACCAGCAGGTCCTACTGGCATATGTTTATGGGGAGGATTGTCAAATTCCCAGTGCGAGGATAGTGTCACGCCTTTCCCAGAACTTTAATTACGACAAGTCAAAAGTGAGTAGCACAGCGCAAGTCTGTCGTGCTTTGCAATTGATCAGGCAGGTTTCAGAATAAATCCATCTGAGGAGCTAGGAAGCTGTTCCTTGATATTCTACAAGCTAGTTCGGCAATTAAGAGGCGGAGAGGTGTTCCTGCACCATAGGTTTGATACCTCAATATGCCAACACCAAGTCTGTACCTTTCTCAAGAATGTCTTAATTCCTTAACAGTCCATTTACCCTGACAGGAGAGAATCAGCCAGCTTTTACTAAGCACTTAACAGGTAAGCTTGTTCAGACCTCACTAAGACAGCTATTAAGCCAGTACTGTCCACAAGGAACTTCCCCAGCAGATGCTACAGAAACAGTCACCCAGGCTGGCAGCTGAAAGGTCTGCAATAAAAGACTGAGTAACCTTTTTACTGGGTGGTGGTGCCAATCTCTCCCTTTCCCAGAAGCCCAAGTTTGTTTGGGAATGAAAAGCCACGTTGTCTAGATAAACATCTCTCAAGTTACGCAGTGCGTAAACCTAGAGTAAGCCTCAGGGATTTGACTGAGTTTCTGACCTATAAGGCTCACCTGTAGTACAGTTCGCTTACAACTGTTTAAATCAAAAACCGTGTCACAGCCATGTAACTTGAGCAGAGGCGTGTGGGCAGTGCTTCATGCTGCCAACACGTGTTCAAAACCAGCTCTCAAATACCATGTAGCACCCAAAACAGCTGCTAAAAATACATAATATCCAAAGCATTGGGAAAAAAAAAAGAGGCAAAAGAGCTATCAAGTGATGGGTTTGAAGAGTTCAGCTAAGAAAAGCAACAGCAGACCAGCTTTCTAGATCACAACCCTCTCTCTTAAACCCAAGAAGTGTAACTGCTCAAACTTTAAGACCTATTTGCAGTATCAGGGATTTAACTTCTTCAGGGTATTTTT